CTCGCAGGCTCCAAATGGCATCCACGGTGGAACGACGTTTCCGGAAGCCATATTGCCCGTCCGCGATGCTACTCTCCTCCTCTAGGTACGCATGTAGCCTGCCTACTACGACCCTCTCGAGGAGTTTCCCCGCCTCGCTTAATAGGCAAATAGGCCTGTACGAGGACGGGGTCCTTTCGGGCTTCCCGGGTTTCTTCAGAAGAACTAGCCTGGCCTCCTTCCATTGACGCGGGAAGTGCCCCCCCTGAGACATTCGGTGAAGCATCTGGCCCACAACGGAGCCAGGTGCTTCACCGTGCTTTTAACGACCCCTCCCATTATGCCATCGGGCCCCGGAGCCTTTCCGGCCTTGACTCTAGTGCAAGCCTCAAGGACCTCAACTGGCGTTACGTCTAAATCACCGTTCCATTCGATGGCTATCTCTTCTCCCTGCGGAATCGGATCCACAGGGAAGAGCGTCGTCACGATCTCTTCAGCCGTCTCAGGGGGAAGCACCTCCAGGACGGACGCGTCCCCCGAGCGCAATTTTCGAAGAACCACCCTGTATGGCGTGCCCCAGGGATCCCTTTCAAGGTCATCGACCAGCTCTTTCCAAAGCTTCGCCTTGGATCGAGCGATCGCCCCCCTGAGATCCCTGCGCCTGTCCCTCAGCTCGCCCCAGAGGGTCCTCATTTCCTCCGGGGGCACGTTCGCGCGGGCCCGCGCTCGCGTGACCCTCCTTCTACAACAATCACAGGCACGGCGGAGCTCCGCGATTTGTTCATTCCACCAATACGCGTGCGGTTTCCTCGGCAGCCCTCTTCTCGGCATAGACACGTCAGAGATGTCCCGCAATATCCTGTCCATGCTGCTCGCTCCTCCAGCGGCATTTCCCGGAATCCCGCTCCAGGCCGAAAAGACCGCCGCCGCCTCCAACAGATCGGTGTCCGTTTTTCCGGCCACCCATCTGGGGAAGGCCCGAAGGGCCGTTCTTCCAATCTCCGGGCCGATGATGGGGGCCCCTACCTCCATGACCACATAATGGTGGTTGGATAGGGACTCCACCTCCTTCGCGACCCTCCATTCGGTGATCATCCTAGCGGCCGAGAACGAAGCCACCGTCAGGTCCACCCGCGAAGTTCCGCGCGGATGTACGCATGTCGGCTCTTCTCCCTCATTGATGACTTGTAAGTCCATAGTCGCCAGCCACTCCAGGAGGAGGTCCCCCCTCCTGTTGCGACCACCCCTGTCCCACGCGAGAGCACGGGCATTGAGGTCACCTGCAATGATGACCGGGCGCCCCACCGTATCCACTAATTTCGTCTCCAATTCTCGCAGGTCCCTCATAAACTCGTCATCACTGAGACTGGGGGGAAAGTAGCATGACACTACAATAGTATCCCCCCAGTCAACAGCCGCGAATCTTCTGCCCCTCCAAAGGGGCAAACACGGCACCCTGGTCTGTGCCCACTGCCATGTGATGGCGGTCGAGGGCGGGCCATCCAGCGAGGCCAACCATCGTCCGTCATCCGGGACCCTGTTGGGCTCCGAGATGGCGACCAGACCGAGTCCTAACTCACAGCTCACCCTGGCGACCATGTCCTGCGATGGTCCAGACCTATTGACATTGATTTGTGCCAATCTAGCCATCACAGGTTTCCATGGCCTCCCCATCGCGTGTCCCCTCCCCTGGGGCCAGAGCTCCCCGATCAGCTCCGTCAGCTTGTCCCGCCGCAGTGGTCACTCTCGTGTCCTCTTCGTTTGTTTTCTGTCCCGGTCCGTTATACGGCACGCACTCACTCGCGCCCGCGCGGTGCCCAGAAGGCAGCCCCCTCCCTGCACACACCGGACACTTTGGGGGCTTCCTGCAGGCAGCGGCTCTATGTCCGTCACCGCTGCCGCATTGGAAGCACCAAGTGGAGCGGTCCACCTGGCTCAGGCAGTTATTTCTAGTGTGCCCCACGGCAAAGCAGCGGAAGCACTGAAGCCTCCGCTTTGCCAGGGGCACCACTCCCGCCATTGTCCATCCCACTCTTAGGCGCCCTTCGCCTAGGATTTTGTTGGCGCAAGACAGGGGGCACTGCACCCAGGCGGCGTTAAGGCCCCCCCTCCCAGGCCTAAGGGGACCGACCCTGATATCCGCTGTTTGCACCTGTCCGCTCCTCGCCACTGCCTCAGCCACCTCCTCGGCGGTGACAGACTGGTCGATGTCGACGAGCCTCATCTCGGCCCTCCGCATCGGCCTGACGACCTTCACCTCTTCTTTAAATTCACTCTCGGCAAGGACCCCCTTAAGTTTGTCTACCAGGGCCTCCGCTTTGGTCCCAGCTTCATCTCCTCCTGGGATCTCGATCAGGAGACCTCCAGCTTGCGCCTTTCTTATGCGCGTGTTCGTTATGCTGAGGTCATCCAGCGAGATCTTGCTCCTGGCAAGTCTCACGACCTCAGCATACGTCACTCCGCCCGGCCTGTCCTTGTTCTCGTCACACTTAATTAATACCGCTGCCGTTCTTGGCGCCCGGAATTTATTATCTTTCGCCGGGGGGAGGGGGGTCGTCGCCTCGCTTCTCCCGGGCCCCCCGCACGAGGGCGAATCGCGGCACCAGTGGAAGCGAGACCTCTCGGTGTCCCACCGCGCGCACCCATTCCCACCGCACTTGTAACCGTGCCGGCCCGGCGCACTCCGGCAGTCATGCCCCCTACCGAGGGCGGGGGTGCATCAGCCCGTCCTGGGTCCTTCCCACCCCTCACTACACTCGCGTCAGGGGCCGCTCTTTTCTGTTCCCTCTTCCTTATTCTCTTTCGCGCCCTCTTTGTCCTCGCCTCCATCCATGTCTCACCATTGACTGGGTAATCCATTGGAGGTGGCGAGGTCTCCGGGCCCCGGCCACTTTCGAGCCCCGCTCCGCCGTTATCGCGCGTCATCCCGTTCCTTACCCTTTCGGCGTACGAGTCTCCGCGATTATTCATGACGGATCGTCCTTTTTCTCCCAGCACTATCTGTCCCGTCTCGCTTACACTCTTCGGTTGGGACGGCCTGTCCTCCAACCTCTTGCGTACCCCGCCAATCGGCGGTCGATACGCAGGGGGGAGGCTCTCCACTACATCCGCTCCAACTCCTCCGCTCCGCGCAGAACGCTCTCCTCTGTTTCGTCCCCGAGTTCCTATCAGTGAACCTACGTCGCAGGCCTCCTCATCCGAAGAGGGGATGTGGCTCCTGCCGCGGTCCCGTTCCTTGTTCCTTTCCTTCAACTCCTGAACAGTGCACTGCAGCTCATTTATCTGTTCCCTCATTGCTCCTCTCTCTCGTCTGAGGTTGTCGACCTCCCGGCGAAGTTTAATAACCTCTCTTTCTAGCGCCAGGTTATTGGCCCTAATTTCGTCAGTTGGTTCCGTGCTTCTCGAGATCTCCGAGACCAACCGTTGGACCGCAATTTTGGCTACGTTTACTCCTACCTTAATTTGGCGACGCAGATCTCCCTTTATACTTTGCGTCCGCCTTTCCGCTTCACCCGCAGTCTCCAGTACCCTCAGTGTCTCCGCCATCACTGACTTCGGAGACATCTGAGGGAACAGGGCGGTCACCTCTTCTATCGCGTCCTTTTGGCAGGATGAGAGCCTGTCGTCCAACTGGCATTTGACCAGGCCTTTTCTCTTCTTGAGACCGTGTCCGGCCCTCTTGGAGATCTTAAAGAAATCTGTTCTGTCCCATTCATCGTCCTCGTAGTCCAGTCGCTTGGAGGAGATCTTGGACATGGCGTGAGCTCCCGGGCAGTTGGAACCCTTCGGCTTCCGCCCCCTCTTCTTCCCCTTCTTGGGGACTTGGTCAAACGATGACGACAAGTCCCCCGAATCCTCCATAGAAATAGAGGGCATCGGGTCTCCCCCCGTCATCTCCTCCTGTTCCGTCTCCACAGCAATCACGCTGGACGCGTTGGATGACACGTCGCCC